TAGTGGCTGTACTAGTTTGCATTCCCACCAACAGTGTAAGAGGGTTCCCTTTTCTCCACACCCTCTCCAGCATTTATTGCTTGTAGACTTTTGGATAGCAGCCATCCTCAATTTTTTTTAAAAAAGTAAAAGTCTTGACCTAGAAAGATGAATGTTCCACCCAAATCTAGTGCCTCCATATTAATTCTCAATTAGAAAAATATGACCCCACTATTAGAAAACAAAAGATAGTAAAAGATTAATAACATGAATTATTGGTACCACACTACATTTTAGATAACTCAGATTTTCTTAAAGCAATGCAAAGCAGATTCTGTCATACAGATTTTAGCATATATTTGATTCTTTTTCTTTATACATCTAAAAGTTATAAGATAACATTTGTAGCAAAAAAAATATGCTTCAATGAAGTAATCAGAAGGAAATTATTTTAGACAGAAACATTAGCAGTTTCAGTCCAAAGTTAGAACATACCATAGGCAGCAATCCTTTTATATCAGAGTTGTGATAAAAATGTATATGGCTGCATTTCTGAAAGATCTTACACGGAGATTACATGACAGTTACTCCTTCAGGGGGAAGAAAGGTAGAGATGAGAAAGCAAAAGACCAATGAAATAAAAGTACAGAAGTAAGAGTATGGATTACAAAGGCTACCAAAAAATATATCTCCAGCAGATGAGGAAAAAGTTTGAGGAAACATAAGTGCATCTTACATGCATATGCTTTCCTGACAGCGAACTGCTTTTATACACACTATAATTATTTAAAGAAAGAATACAAAATGTACTGTGAGTTTTCAAGTGGCTTCATAAACTGTCCAATCTCAGTATTGACTTCAATATATATCTATCACTATCTTCAAATGAAGTTTTAAGACTCAGAAAAGAATATACTTACAGCTCCAAAATTCTAAAAGGTAATGAAATATTGAGTTATATGACCTCTTAATCATCAGAGGAAAGAAAAACTAGAAGACATAATATAAAGGCTCCCAAACCAATCCATATCCTTCTGTTTATTGAGCATAGAGAATCTCAGAATCTTTGGTCTACTTTCCTCCCAAAGAGAGCTACATGGCACTGTTAACAACAATTATTACTATAATACTACTTCTAAATTCAAAAGCAGGAACAGAGCTTCACAAGTGGGAACCTTGAAATTTCTCTGGTTCTGCTTTCT